ACAGAGGACCAAGTTGTCCTTCCAATAGACCACATTCTTGGTCAGTGTATTCGGCTCTTCAATCAGAGCTCCTAAGTGGACAGATGGTTTAAGCCCATCAGACTCCTGCATCAGAGATCCATGGTGGTCTTTTGTTCAGCTCTTTAAACACAACTTGGATGTCACAAGTTTTTGAGAAGTTAAGAGTGGTCAGCCTGTAAGACCTACAATTCAGAAGTCCAGAACAGTCAAGTGGTCAGTGTATCACAATCTGAGAGTCTGGAGTGCAGGCTACTAGATGAAATTTTTTTTTTCCTCCAGGGGTGAGTGGGGGGTGAAGGAGAGAGGGTATAGGGTTTTCCTGAGTTTAATTCCCTAAACTTTCATTTGGTTGTCCAAAAACCAAACCCAAGGTAAACAACAAGGCCAATTAAAACATAGGAAGATGTAACTAGAAGCCAATGTGAAAACAAGCCAACTGCTCAAAGAACAGGGCAGTGAGGGTGACCAAGGTTGTTTTAATACAAGTTTTGCATCCAATTCATTGAGAAAGTGGCTTGAGTTTTCTTGACCAATAACCTAGAAAAGTACAACAAAATCAATTGAATCCTTTATTACTTTTGACACTTAATTACCGGTAATAATTCCTCTGATATTTAACTTTGGATTATTTTATTATTAGTGGCCATTTAAGCTGGCTACCAGAAACCATATTTGTTCATCTAATTGCAGCCAGCAAAGAGTTCATTGAGGCCAGGAAAAGATCCTTAAAGCGTTTTCTGACTCTTGTTGTGAGGCATCCCGTACTTTGCGAGGACAAGATTGTGAACTTTTTCCTTACAGTCAAGGGCTCGGTAAGTTGTCCTGTTGAATTCTATTGGAATACACCTTTCCAGCAGAGCTCAGGATTTGTGATGGTGGCATCCATCTGTTTCTGTTGTTTCCCATTATGTTTATGCTATTGTTTACCAAACAAAGACTGTATCATACCACGCAACCTCATGAGCACTCATGTTACAACTCTGTTACATGAGAATGCACTTGTTGTCAGCCAATCAGAAGCACACAATTTTTTCCATGCACATTATTAAGATCATGATATGTGTTGTTAAGGATATGTGTACTATTTCTCCCAGGACATTGGTCAGAAGTTGAAGGATCAGTATAAATTGATGCCAGATGAATTCATGACTAGTCCTCTTGCCTCCAAAGCAAAGGTAATAAATTGCAAGACATGTATAAAATCTTTTTACTTTCTGTTCTACATTCAATATAATTTTAGCCCTGACAAATAAGTGGCAGATCAAATATCTCTTGGTCAGGTGATGTTTTGCTATTTTCTCGTCACCTTTCTGCCTGAGAATATATTGATATTGTTCAGGAGAAACATTTACTTGGTCACGGTTAGGAGTCAAATACTGGTGTTTTTCCTTTTTTTGTTTTTGTTTTTTAATTTTTTTGCTCAAATTTGAGTTGAGTTATTGTATAAAGAGCTGATTATCCTTTTTCTTTGAATAAAATTTTACAAAATCTAGGGAAATTCCATGCAATATTTTTCTATATTTTTTTGTGTTTGTCTCATAGGAACTAGTCCCTATGGATACACAAGCCAGTTTTCAAACCAGCCGCCTGCAAATTCAAGCCATTCACAACAGTGTGGAAAAACTAAAGGATGTTGCTGATAGAATGACAGCAAGAGCCTTAGGTTGTTCATCTTTCCATTGATTTATTCTTCAGTTTTTGGGAATACAATTTGAAATCAATGCTTCAACCCATGAGTTATTCTACTAGCAAAAAAAATAATCATATCATCTATTGAAATCAAAAGAAAAATACAATTTGTTCTTCAAGAAATATGAAAAAGCAGTTACTGCTGCCAAAGTTAATTGGCAGCAATGAAAAGACTCGCAGAAATTCCTCTGAAGGGTAACATATTTCAAGGCATACATTATTTGGTACAAGGTACTAGAGATAGTTAACTAAAAGTATAAGGGGAAGAAAGTAAACAGGCTCTGTTTACTCTAATACAAAAGTATGAAGGTAACAGCTAATTATTTTGAATTAATATTGATATTATTTTTTTATTTTGTAAACAGGATTTTCTTCCGACATGCTTCAGTTTGCTAAGGAACTCACGTAAGTCCCTGTCTCTCAAGGGCGAAAACATCTTTGTCAGCGAATGATGTTCAAGGAAGCATTTCATGAGATGTGAAATACTAGGGAGTACTCTCTGTAGGTTACACTTGATACTCATTCCTGCCCAGAAAGTTTGAGACTTCCTTTCATTATTGTCTCTGTTTGTAATGGATTCTAAAAAAAAATTTTGTGTTGAAAAATAATCAGCCAAAACATTACCACAATGTTAATGCATTAGTACTGTCTTGCACTGCAGATATTTAAATCCTTGAAACTGTGGCTCTACCTTAAGCACTGCTACTCGCACAGATGATGTTTGTGCTCACTATTTAGAAGAAATTATTTGTAGCTTCCATTAGCTGTGTTTATTTCACAGATTTGAAAACAGATGTTTTCTAACCTAAGTTCTCTGAGAACTCTTTTTGATACAAATTGTACTTCTATCAAATTTCTATTAAACATGTCCAAAGTAGTCAGTTGTATGTGAATTATCAGATCATTAGTACATATCTTTTGCCATTATCTACACAGAGCATTAACCAATGAGTCACACCCAACAACTGTATGGGCAAGTGGCAGTAACAACACATGGGGGAACCTTAAACACAGCTTTACTGGAATCACTCCTTATTATACCAAACTTTCAGAGAGAGGTGCTGTTTGGGTTAGTACGATCTAAATTCAATTATTTCTGGTTAAAAAGATTTCAACTTTCTTGATTTTAGTCCCCATATGTTTATGGATTATGATAACATTACCTAGAACAAAGGAGAAAAAAATTAGAACTACCAGAAGTACTAGTACTTCAGTAGCTACACTTGCATTTCAGACAACTACGGAAAAGTGCCTCATCTGTGTATTGGAAGGATGGTTAAAGATGAAGGCCTTGGTCATGTTTTATGTACATTAAAAAAGGTCATTTTACTTTTTGCACTGCTTAAGTCACCCATTTCACAAAAACAAAAGTTTTCTGCTTTCTGCTAGATTATGTGCAATAAAGTTATGTTTTTTGTCTTTGGTGGCCATACACCTTTTTTTTGTCCTGACACTCTTGTAAGATAATGTCAGTGGTGCTGTGAGGCAAGACTTTACCACCACAAAGCAGTCAACTGACCATGATTAACATTATAAATTACCTATCAAATTGAGTAGAGGGCAAGGGCACAAGAAGGCAACAATTAACTAAGACTGAACTTTTTTCTCCTACTTAATTTTGCCTTGTTCCTAGTTTAAAAGAGAGGATACCGGTGCTGCTGAGTACTTGGCTCTCTTCTTGGACTTAACCTCAAGTTATCGGGTAAGTTTGAATAACCCAACTTTTTTATGAACCCTTTCAACCCTAAGAGTACTAAGATCTAATTTCTCCTTGCAATAACTCCCCTGAATCAAACATTAAGGTCACAAGAATAAAGGAGATGATCACCAACTAAAGAAGCTTTTGATCATTGAACAAATTCTCCTTGTCAGAACCCTTGGAAATGTCTAAGGTGTGGTATGGAGAATATGCACGCTGATGTTAGGGAGTAAAAGTTAAGGGTTTCACTGTTTACCCCATTCACTTTTCCCTTCTGTCTTACATACTTTTCATATGATTGTAGCTCTGAGAATTTTGTGTCCAATCAATTTGTATCACAAAGTTGATCTTTTTCTGTCTTCTTTTCACCTCATGCTTGACAATGTGTGAATAGTGCTGGGAGAAATTATTCATAGGTTGCTCCTGGGAGTGAAAGGTATAAGAGAAGTTTTGCAATGCAATTAGGCCCAAAATAGGAAGTCATTCCCTGGAAAATGGCAAGTGGATGCTTGAAGAAGCTATGTCATTGTCACTTTTGTACAATAAAAAATTGCCTCCATATAGAAGAAAACAGACATCTATGAGATGAGAAGTGCTGGTTTATTAGAGGTGTTAGTTTGTTGTTAAGGTTTGAAAATGATAGTTTTTTTTTGCTGAGGCTGTGCCCCTCGGCACAGGCATTCAGTAGATTTTTTTGCTAATGGAAAAGTGTCCATAAGGAGAGTTTCAAGGGTTGGAAGCTTTGAAATAACCCATGGTGCAGATCAAAAATTGAGAACCAGTGCATGAAAGAGAGTGACTCCTATTGATAGCATTTCTTTTTTATGCCAGGAACTTTGTGAAAGGCATGAAAAGGGAGTTTTAAAAGATCACCAACACTCGCTCCAGAAAATGCAGCAGATCAAAAAACGTCAGATTGCTGCTCAGGCAAAGGGCCAGGATCATGCTGTTGATCAGCTGGAATCCAAAATTGTTGAACAGGAGACAGACATCAGTAACATGGAAAACAGGAACTATTTCTCACTGCACTGTCTCCAGCTAGAAACCCAGTTGGTACATGCTAACATGAAATTATTGGCAATAGTGTTACAAAAGATGGTCACATCACAGATTGCAGGACACAAGGAGGTGAGATGCAAGCTAGACAATAAATTCCCCGACACAGTAGGCAATAAGTTGTCATGATCCATGACAAGGCATGTCGCAGCAGCTACAGTCAGTGTCAAAATTAATTGACACTTCACATCAAAGATTCCTATTTACAAGTAGAATAACAATCCTGTCTCTACCACACTCTAAATCATTGACAAGACCCCTCTTCCCACCCTTTCCCCCATTCAATGAAGGGGGAAGGGGGCAAATGGGTCACAGGAGGTGGAAAGTAAATTCCTACTTAGGTCATTTGAGGCTATTCCTTCCTCTTGAAGACTTCATGGAAGGACATCAGCAATTCTCCCTTTTAAACACCCATTTACATGTGAACTTTACAGGTGATAGTGTGATTGACAGTTTTGCTCTTATTAATCTCTTTAATAGGTATTTGAAGTCTGGAATGAACTTGATCCACTTGTGGCTGCATTACTTCCCAGCAACTCTCCTGGCTCGTCACCCCCTGGTTCACCACCATTAAAGTAATTTCAGCTGTCTACATGATCAATGTAGAAGTATATTGCTCTTTCATAGATTTAAGTATTTTTAATTACTTAGTGGTAAGGTGTCATAAGATGAAATTGGTCCACACCAGATGACCTGTGTAGTCAAATAACAGTGATATCAACCACCCTGCAAATTGTTGTGAAGTGTTGATGTGCTGTTATCAAGATGTTGAATTACATCTCTCCTAGTAATGTTCACTTTTAAGGTTAGACTTCGGTTTTAAATCCAGTCACTGAAATGGTCACCTAACCCATAAATTCAGAGAAGAATAAAAGAACATTTTTTAAGGAAAAACTTCTTTTTTGGGATTTGTTTGTTATTTTGATGGACAAATTATAGCTGCAGTATACCAAATATTGTTAGGTATTTCCCTCTAAGTATTGGATAAATATCCAAAGGTATGTAGTGGAGGTGTTCTTCCTAGTTAGAAAATTGAATGATTTGTTTTTATAACTGTTAGCAATTTTCTTAATGCTTGTCTTACTTTGCTAAATGGCCAGGAAATGTTTATTTTCTATTGATTGGAGCAGAATAAAAGGCAAAACCAATGGATAATTATTTTGTAAAAAAAGATTATAGTTACTGTAGTACAAATTTTATAAGGAGCAACTGAACACTTAATCAATCAAATATTGTACACTTTCACATCGCATGCACTGAAACATAATATTCAAGGACAGGGAGCTTTGACCATGAGAACTCTTTCTTCAGGCTAAACATAAATATAACTACAACTTTCTCGCAGTTATTGCTCAACTGGACATCTCTTTAAAGAATTTTGCAGGTAATTATAAACCACCCAGTACTATCTAAGTTTTCTTCAATGATATTGATGCTAGATTTGGACTCAAGTTATGAATAACTTCAGGCTCTCACCTTGTACATCAGTAAGGCAGAAGAAACAAGTGGATTTCAAGCATCCTTAAATTTGACCCAAAGAAACCTCAGAAATATAGCAGATTTGATTTCCCAAGAGGTCTTTGGTACAACTAATAAGGGTACAATACTTATTATAATAATGTTTGTTTGACTCACTGTTCTTGTATGCATCTCAGAAGCTTAAAGTTTATCGAAGATTGCTGATAGTGTACCATTAATTCTTTGTAAATCTGGCTAACAGAAGAAGGTATAGTTGTAGTGACTTTGCTATCTTTGGATAACTTGAATTGCACTTCAACCCTGTAACTCCCAAGATCTAATCAGTAGTTTTGTCTTCTGATTGCCTTGCATACTCTGGTAAATTAGGCAGGAAATTTTGGTTTTATATGAAGGAAGCACTTTCATATTGATAAGTTTGCCTGTTCCCATAACCTGTAAAATGACATACAGCATTGGAAGCACAAGGGAAAGCTACATGTCAATCTCATGGGAGTTAGAGGGTTTTGTGGTATTAAGACTTAATTGTCAGCTTTTCCGCTAAGGATTTCCAAGTTTCTAATAAGGGACCACCTAAATTTACAACTTTAGAATCAGTTGTCTTTGATAATGTTCAGTATACTGAACCTACATTGGCAGAAAAGAGAAGTTATTATTAACTTAAAGAATCAGTAGTCTAAGAGTTTTGAAAAAGGACTAATCAATTAGATGGATTAAAGAGTATTTTTAAGAATATTGAGTGAAATTTTGTGTTTTTTAATCTGGTACAGATTTCTTGGCAGTCTGCTCAAAATGTGAACCCACAGGATATGATTACTAACTGGATGTCAAAATTTAAAATTCAACCATTCCAAATCCTGTTTCCACAATTTGCAGCAACTCTAGTTGTTTAGGACTGAATGTGACTGTTGATTGGTAGACTTTTAGTTTTAAATGCCAAATAAAAATCCTGGATTGTTGACTTTTGCTAGGATGGATTTCTTTGAGGTCTTGCTCAGCCTAATCCAGTGCAAAACAGAACTGAAATCCAGTTAATAATTAGTGTTGCTTCAAACAAGATTTTCACTGAAACGTGGTCTTTCTAGATGTGATTGCTACAATTCCCAAACTTCATGCCACAGACCTCCCATCCAAAAGGCCATTGTCATTAACCCTTTAATCCCTAGGAGTGTCTGGCATCTAATATTTACTCGCTGTATCACCCCTGAATTAAACACTAAGGCCAGGAGAATAAAGGAAGTGATCACCTACGAAAAAGCTCTTGATTGTTACACAAATTCTCCCTATTAGCACCCTAGGAAATGTTTAGAGAATGGTATGGAGATTGTGGACACTGATGTTAGGGTGTTGAGGGTTAAAGCTGTTTTGTGCACTTGCCCTTTTGTTATTAAACATTTCACTTCTAAATGCAGTGCTCTCATTGGATGTTTCATCCCAGGTGTTTATTTTCAGCCTGCATAGCTCTTGCAATGTACCAAGGATCAAATTAAGGGTAGCACAGACACTATCCAGTTTTAAAATAGCGTGTATGATGTGGATGATTGTCAGGAACAGCACTAAGAAACTTGTTTTTACAAGTGATATTTTATCACAAATATAACTTCTACAAATTTCTTTTCCCTTTTTTTAAATGCATAGACAGAAAAACTTAAACACAGTTTTCTACTTGATGTATACCCTCTTTTATTTGAATTAATAAATGAAAATTACACATGCAAATATCTAAGATTATAAGTAGAGACAAGTTGTAAATAACTTACTTGCTGATGAATATCATCATATTGCTATTAATTTTCTATAGCAACAAAACTGTTTGAAACAAACACTCTTACTTTATCCAATGTAGATGGCTTTGCAACCCTTGAACATGAATATTATTCAATGTTTTAATTCTTTTGAATATATGATAACAACTTTCCACAACCTTTTACAGATTTTTACAGATTTTTTTCTTTTTTTGCCATGACCTACAATCAAGACCCTCTCTCAAAATGTCAAAAATAATTTTTCAATCAAGGTATTTCTTACTTTACCAGAAAAATTAATTACCTTTGTCTTGGCATATTCCCTGACTTCCAAGATCAAAATATGAAAGCATAAAATTCCTTCAATTTACATTCCAGGTATCACTTGACCCCTTATGAACTCTGTCGTTTCAAGCTGTTTTACAAGGTCCTTCACTCTGTTAACAAAAAAGGGCTAAAATCAACAGAAAAGTGATAACTTTTTAAGAAGGACATCACCATGTCTCATGCTTGTCACAAATATTTGAAATCTTTGTTAGGTCAATGCCAGAGGTAACATCTACTACTCTTCCCAATCCATCTATCTCTACTTGTTTTCAAGTGTTGCTAACCTCTATGGAACAAGTGTCTCCCTATTTTAACCAAAACTAAAAATAAGCTAGCAAATAGATAGGTAGAACTGAGGACAAGAAAAATTCTGTTATTCCTATGAGGCCTAACAGTAACATCTTGTTATGTATCAGGTTCTTTTAAATTCTCCCAGCACATAACAAATGAAAGCGAGCCCATTTTAATTTTACTCTTAATACACAAGTGCAATTCTGCCATTCTACCTCTACCAGAGACACATTTCCTTGTAAGTTAGTTACAAGGATTTTGTGTTAAATCAAGATAACAAATTCTACTTGAGAAGTTGGAGTATTCTGATTATCTATCCAGTGGATAATGTAAGGATATTATGGGGAGATGTTACATGTTAATCATCTTTGGGAGTTAAAGGGTTTATTTCTACATGTAACTAAGTATTGTAATTGTACATGCTCTACAACATTACTAATTGTCTTGTCAGATTTGTATTTGATTTTGCATCCTAATGCAATCATTGAACTGAAAAAAAAAAAAAAAAAAAAAAAAATGCCAGAAACCATGCTTCTCCACATAAATCTTAAGCATAAATTTTTGCTTAAGGAGAAATTTCTAATTCATTCCTAGTTTTAATCATGTTCATGATTTGAAAATTATCCTTACAACTAAATTATTAGAGAAATTTTCAATAAGTGTTGAAAGTAATCCCGGATTGCTTGGTCCAGAAAACTCACTCCACTGTTACAACCGATAAGATGCAAAACTGAAATCAACTGTGATTTGGTCACTGGCACTTTCCTCACTTTTCACAGTTACACCAGTTTAACATTGAAAGGAATTCTCCTTTCTCCTGATCAGTCCTTGCAATTACTTTGGTTTAGGTTTATGAGACTCAATCGAAAAGTACTCTGACTAATACTGAATTTTAACCTCATATATTTTAGCATACATTAGTCTGGCACACTATTTACATCAGCTTATATGATGCCTATGTGCCATAATATAAATGAACCTTATTACCACTCACAAACAAGGTTGTTTGGGGGTATTTTCTACAGCTGTAGGTTTACATTTCCTAAGTAATTCACTAATCAGTATATCAATAAATAACTTATAAAGAACATTAAGTCACTTGGAATATAAAATACGAAAGGCTGCCGTAAATGAGAAATGCAAATGATTTAACTCTTCATTCAAACAAAATACTCCCATAATCTAAAATCTCAGCAACCACTTTAAGAAGTACAACACAAATTTGGGATCTGTTCTTCTGTTGGCTGATTTTGATAATCTGATTTTACTTCCACACATTAGGATATTATTTTTTGGTCAAGGTCAGTATCTGATCAACTACACACCTTCCCCTCCCCTAACCTAACATGAACCCTAACTTGTTATCAGTTGATTGTTGTTGGGTTCAGGGAGGGGTAGGTGTGAAGTTGATCAGATACTAGCATTGATCCATATTTTCCTAGTAATTATTACTGGTACCTGACCATTTGATATTGTATCAAAACCATATGTAGAAGCCTAATTTATATATATATATATTTTTTACTTATCACTAATGGGAGGAAAATATATGAAACCCAAATTTAGTGAAATCATTAAAAAGTTAATCCTTCTGTATTTTACAGGGAACACATCTGACATGAATATAAACGATACTGAACACAAATGATAACTGATGAGAATCAACTATAATAATTGATAATAACAGTAACATTACTAATGATAATAAATATAGATGCTTTGTTCTAGTTCCTTGTTACAGCAACAGTAAGAAAGCCAAGAAAGTCAATCAAGTCCTGTGTTTGTCCACTTCTACATCTCCTCCATAGAACAAACTGGGGTGGCCTCCACCTCTTGTGAGAATACCCTTACAGTAAGAAAAAAAAACAGTGATGAGAAAATGTTTTTTCTACATTAAACAGTAAAGAAATAGATTTCAGTTTGTGCTTTGTACAAAATTTAGTCTAAATTATGGAAAAAAGAGGAAATGATTGAATGATTTCTGGTCTGAGACTCAGAAAGTTGTTAAGCAGAAAGTTGCTCACCCTTTTTAGCTGTTCCTGTCTTCGCTGCCACTGAGAGGGCGACATTGAGCTACTTGCAGGGTAGACAATCTGTAACTGAGGGCTAGACATGAACAATGAAGGATCTGAACTATGGCGACGTAGTCCACTTGTTTCCTGTCGGCATTCATTTAGCTGACTTTTGTAGATTGCAAGCTTTATGAATCAACAAAGACAAATGATTGGCAAAATTGAACAATTCTTAGGAATTCATTCATTATTTCATTTATGCACATGTATACAATTTGCCCTTGAAAGTGTCTCAGGTTATACATGCCTATGTAATGTTCTTTAAGCAAAGGTTCTCTTGGTAATTTTGTTCAAACCAATGATTTTCAACTTTGTGTTATAACTTTGAGAAACTCATTTGCTTCCTGGTTAGCAAGCTTAACCCCACACTCAGAAGTCCTATTTTGGTCAGTAGATGTCCAGTGTGTCCCTGAGCAAGACACTAAAACTCTCATAGAATCAGGGTAGACTTCATTCATATTAGCAATTTGTAAGGAAAACTTGACAAATTTGTGGAGGTTACCCTTCATAGACTCATCTTGCATCCCAATAGGGTGGAGAAGTAGTGATGTCACTTCATGTTTCCTGTGGCTTCACACTCCCCAAGAGCACTAAGCGTCAATATAACTGAGCCACTAGACTTGCAGATAAAATTTTCCTCACCTCTTGTGTCAATGTGGCAATGAGGTCTTGAGCATCTAAAAGCTGCTGCTGAAGGTTATCTTTTTCACCTTGTGCTCTTTCTCTGTCTCTCCTCTCATTTGAGAAATCTTCCTCATACGCTTGTATCTGAGCAAACCACATTTCAACCTATATTACTACACATGCATTTTCATCATAATTTACTTGCAACACACACTCTATAACCCCAATATCTCCCAGATCTGACAAATAACAATCCTATTCCATAAAATTAGCATCATGCATCCCTGTCTTGATTTAAGATTAAATTTGGGGGTAAATGATTTGCTTCATTCTCTTTACCAGTCTACATAACAGCATATTAAAATGTAGAGAGAGCATACATGCCAACCACTCCAAGAAATCACAAAGTTAAAAGCATATATACATAATAATAATAAAATAATAATATTAATTTACCACTCCTCCAAGGGGGATTTTAAGTGTCAATAAAAAAAATTTAAAAAAATTTTAAAAAATCGTGTAATGAAACATAGCATTTAAAAATTCTAACTAGCTAGAGGCAGATCTATTGGTCATATACTAAGCACAGCTTTGGAGTTCAACTTGGTGCAACCAAGAACAAATCCAGTAAGTAGCTGGGTGGAGGGTTTGAACCAGGGAATACCAGATTACAAGTCCGGCACCCTAGCCACTTGGCTACACTGCCGCCTGGCTATAAAGGTCCAGTTAGAAAAAACAGTTGCTCTCAATGGGTTATCAGTATACAGATCTTACTCCTTTGGGTACCCCAACACATGTTGCAACATGTATTCAAAATACTTTTTTATAAGTTACAGTACCCATCACTCGTGGTTAAAATTTGATCAAGATTTAGAATTTTTCACACCAATCAGATTTTTCTTTCCTATCTTTACCCTTTTCTTTTCTTTTCCCTTCCTTTTTTTTTTTGGCAGTATTCATATAATAATTGGAAAACACTAACATAAAATTTATACTGGTTTCAAAAAGTTTCAAACCAAGGAACAATTTTAACCACAACATTTACAAATAAGCTTGAACGTACAATTGATTATCCTTAAATGACAGTAGTAGTATCAAGTTTTGACCATTGTCATACAGTAAGTATTCACTGAGAAAATAACACAAACCTGTTGTTTAAATACTTCAAAATCATTCAGATCTAGGAATGGTGACTGCGGTGAAGGTTTCTGTCCTTGATACAGTTCATTTAAAGTAGCAGCAAGCCTTGAAACTTCAGTTCCCAGAGCAAGGACCTGTGTTTCTGAATTTGCAAGTTTTTCTTTGGTCAAATCCAGTTCCTTTTGAAGCATTTCATTCTCTGTCTGATATTTTATCTTCATAGCATCGTAGTCTTCTTTCCACTTCTTGTTGACTTCCATAACCTTCATTTAAAAGTATAGACATCAGTTTGAAACAGAACATTTATACAAAGTATGTTCATAGCATTAAATAAATTAAATTACCGTAAATTGCAAATTCACTGCCGTGGAGTAGGTAAGAAATATTTACTAAACCACAAAGTACTTTTTCATACCACTGGAGATACTCATAGAATAAAAGTGTTCTCGGATGCAACAAATATATAAATGAATGAAACAAGATTGGGCTTGTCAAATGTTTGCTGACTCTGTAGAATTACCCTTATAATAGCCATTGTGTTTCAGAAATATCATATTACATCATCATAGTATCCTTCCAAAATATGTAAGTGGTTAATTTCAAATCTGAGCAAATTACTGCATAATCATTTTAATTAGTGGTAATTATGTTACATAGAATGTCATAATACAATTATAATAGAACTGCAAGATGCATAAATAGTTAATAACAAGCCTAGGCAAGTCAATATTTGGCTGACATTGCATTTAATTGTTATAATTGATTGCTGGTGATGGTATATTAATATAGAACCCTGCTAGGGAAATAAATTATGCAAACATTGTATAATCTATAAAAAGAAATTCAAAACAAGATGAGTAGGTGGTTCATTACCAATAAAGGAAATCAGCCTTTCTGGCTCGATGGGCACAGTGGTTTTACTGATTATAATTTGTTAAAAAATAGCAAACAAGGTTACAGAGTCAGTAAAGTATGCAGAGAATCTTTATTAGAAGGAACTTCTAAGGCTCAAATCATTTCATGAATTGTTTGATTAATGTGGGTAGGGAAGAATATTCAATAAACAAAATTAGTTCATTGAAACACAGAAGAGAAAAATTACTACAGTAGGACTAAGAACAAATAACATTTACAAGCAAAGGAACAACTACGTGGTCACATAGCAAGCTATTCCAAAATTCTGGCTATGGTGTAAAACACATATTGATGTCTCGAGTGGATTGACCACAAGCTGCTTTTTATTTATCCATGTTCTGATTAAACTAGTATCATAATACAACACAATTTGCAAATTTCATGAAGGTTAATTCACTCCAGAGTTTAAAAGCTACTTTCCTTTGGTTTCCTAAGGAAAAATTTAGTTAATCAGCTTAGTTTAAGTCAAAGAACCTGTGTTCTGTGTAATACTGTATAAATCAAACAGGAGTAAGTGTGTTTTATCAATATAGATTGAAACAGCAGGATACTCAGAATGTTAACAATTTTGTAGACCATTCAATTTGTAAGGTCATAGTTACCATCACTGCTGTAAGCAAATTTTGATTTTTTTTCCGGGTATATCTATAGCATTGGATCCTTAAAAATTCAAAACATGAGAGATCCTAATGAGACACATAATGCATGCTAAAAATGCTTTGAGCAATGATATAATAACAAAGCTTAACGTTAACTGGGCACAAGACATCTGAACCTCCATCATATCTACAAGTCTTCATTTTCTAAATAAATAACGAGCATTCCATCAATTCCACAAATGAGAACCATTTTGATTACATGTGCACATAATTTAAGTTATGGACAGCTCTTTTACATTTGATAATTTCAACTATTTGCTTTTCAAAAGGCACATAACTAGATGCATTTTCACGATCTGTTTATTTCATTTTACATACAGATCAGCTCACTGACAGAAAATGAAAAAAAAAAAACTGTACAACCTATTAATTTTCATTTTCTAAATGGACAACTGTCTGATAGACAAAAGAGGTTACATAGGGTAGGATATAGTGATGATATCGCCTACTTCCGATTGTCACAGCCCACACCTGAATCTTGAAGTGACGTCACAAGTGATTTGAGATTTTAGTTCTTACTCTTTCTCTCATTCTCGCATTTTGAGTTTTGCCTCAATAAGATTTAAATTTCTTCAGGAGGCTATTAAAAATAAAAACTCTATGGATGCACCATGCCACATCCTATATAAATCAATCTTTTAGTTTTGTTTCATTCAGGTATAGAGAGTAGTATATAGAGTAGTAAAATTGAGTAACGCATTTTCCTTGCAAACTCATCACCATGCTGGACCTCTTTCAGGGTCATCGGCATACCACCATGTTCTGAATCTTACTGCACATTCGCAGAAAGGCCAAATTTATCCAAATAAACAGTGCAACAAAATTGTTATTTTTGCTTTTGAGATTTATCTCATGAAATTGTTGTGTGTGACAATTGTTTTGGCTGACATGCAGACAACTCCAAATTCATGAGCCATAATGCATTAAGTCCTGAATAAGGCAATATGATGTTTGGAAGAGAGCATAATTATGACTTTGGTAACAGTTGATTCTAGTGTTACTGGTTTGCAATATCAGATATATTGCATGGCTGTCATTACAATAAAAAATTCTCATGATTGTACTTCAGGTTTGACTTAATCGTCCATTTGAACTGCAAAATGTTCAAGACAATTAGGACCCAGTAAAATTTCCTTATTTGAAAGTCTGAAGCAAGTTCTGCCCTCCACAAACACGATACGGTCTACATATTTAAAGTTTCTAATGATTTTCGTTAGCCTATAGACTAGATATAAATTAGACTAAAATTGTTGAAGGAAAAGTAATTTCTTTATCTCACCTCGTTCAGTTGCCATTCCAGACATTCTCCACCGCTTTCACCTGAAACAGATCTAGAATCATCCCTTGAGTTTGACGGCTCCTAAGAATAATCGAGAAGTATTTTATTATTAGGCTTAATGATTTTTCTTAACAAAGTCTGTGATTCAACCGTCGTAACTTTTGAACCTCACTTTCGCCATTTACATTGTTGTTTCGAATCTTGCTGTAAAACAAAACACAAAAATATCATATTTCTGTGCTTAAGTAGCATAAGCTTGTGCTCTGAGGCAGGTCCAAAAATTTGAGTTTCACCTCGCGTTTTCGGCTTCTTATGAAACCTTGAACTGCTACATGGTCAACCCGCTACATGGTCAACTTTGAATAACATATATAATTGCTAACCAACATGAAAACCATTCTCATCCACTCATGGAGCGAAACAACAAATATTTCCACCATAAAAATGTACGAGGATCGAGGAATGGCCCATTAATATTGTTGTCGAGTTGCCAACACGTCAGTGCGTCGGTCAGAAATATTAAATGAAACTTCTGCCTTCCCATATCATATCTCTGGCAAAAATGAATTAGACTTCATACCTCCCCATCTCTTTTCTTTCCCTTTTCAGCTTCTCTCAACAGTTTTCTAACTCTCGATTGTTCCTTCTGTAACCTTAATAGCAACGATCGTTTTTCGCCCAAAGTCTTGACTAGCGAGCGCTGTAATTCCAAACAGTTCTCGCATCGATTATTCACAGCATTGCTG